AGGAGCGGCGGCGGCCCGCCCGCCGTGCCCGCCACGGACGTCGGTGGACGAAACTGTTGGATGTTTACTCGTTAGATGTTACGGTAGTCCGCGAGGTACGCGCCGGAGGGTAAAGTTTGTGGCCGTCGATGTTGTTAGTGTTTATCCGTTGTAAATATGGAGTCGCGGGCGTGTCGCGAGCCCCGGCCGGAGACGCACCGTTACCTGGACTCGTTTCTTTGTTTTACGCTAACACTTATTAGTGGACGCTTTTGTTTGTTTTGTTGGCTTTCGAAATATCCGTGTGATTTCCTTTATCGTAGAGATTTAATAGTGATGGAATGTTTTAATCGATTTAACTACGATTAAATTTTAAAGAATAATGATATGCATAGGGCATCGTTATTAAATTATTATCGTACGAGAGGAGTCCTATCGAATTGCATTTGCATTAAGATTAGATAAGTTAAAATAATTCGCAGATTATTCAAAATTTATAATAAAATTTTGACAATGGTCAATCTTTAAAGTTTGACGTCGATTGTTTAGGGTCGTTATTAAATAATTAAGTATTGTATTTATCTTATATAAAGTGTAGGTATTGTTTTAATTTATTCAGCAACTTAACATATTTCACGGTAAACACTGACTCCTCTCTAAAGTTATTTTTATAAAGCAGTTGAGAACATACATACTTACCCACAAATTTTCACTAGCTACTCAAACAAAGTGCTTATTAGTTTGATTATTATACTCCAACATTACAAAATGTTTGTATGTACCCTAATTAAATTCTATAATATTATGCAATGTATTTCATTTACTAAATTAATAGCAACCAAGCCCACAAATTTGTTTTATTTCATCCATGTTGAGAATATCACACTAGAACATGGACTTGTTACTAATTACTAAATTATTTAAAAAAGAACCAATGTTTGTAATGTAATGTCAAAAGAACTATATTGTCTACAATGTTGGAGTTTTACAGTAGATAATATTATTAATTAAGTTTATAACAGCAACAGATTTCATTATAAATGTCTGAAAATATGAAATAATGTTAAAACTATCAGGCCCTAAGAACTAAGTGCACAGTTGCACAGGTCCCCAATTTTCTGCTGAATGTCAGCTGAAAGATGGAATGACACCTAATTTATCTACTGGGTATTGAATAATCTAAGCCTATAGCATTATTTATTAGCTTCTAGATTGCTGAAAAACAATAATATTGTTTTCATATATATACAGTCTTCCGTAAAAGATAGACAGAATCTATTCTGGCTGCTAAACGTCATTTTCCTAGTGTATCTTATTTATTATGTTCGAACAAAAGATATTTGTAAAGTACAAAATCCGATCTTTTCAAAGGAATTATCTAATTATGTCGCTTAGCTAGCATAGTCTTATTTTATGGTTTTGTATTTCGTTTTAGTAGAATTTATATCAAGGCAAGAATTGAAAAGATTTATTTTTAGTGATAACAACATTTTATTTGACACTTTGACAGTTGAATACTTGACGCTGTCACTGGTCCCTGACGTAAAGAATTAAAGATATAATAGTGCTGAAATTGTAAATAAATGCAATATGACGTTATTTATAGAAAATAAAAGATGTTATACTAGGAATAAGGCTTAAACGTAATCTGGACTAATTTATTTACAATATGGCAAGTGAGGAACATAAAGAACTTTCAGACTACATAAAAAGTGTGCATTTATCACTTAGGAAATCAAGTTCAAAACTAGGAGCTGACACAGCATGGCAGGAACATTGTTGTAACGTAGACACTTTATCAAAATATGCAGAATGTATGCAGAAATTAGCCACTACACATTGGGAAACTAACTGTAATAGTGCTACAAGCGAAGCAACGTCTAGAATTAAATGGGCAGTTGAGTTCTGCCATGACTATTTTAATAACCATTTGTACAAGAAGTACCGTGATAAAGAGTTGGGAATTTCTCAGAGTATAGGTCTACAAGTAGACCGTGAGGAATCATTCTCTGAACCCATTAAACTACTTGATGTTGGTAGTTGCTATAATCCTTTTAAAGTTTACAACATGTTTGATGTAATAGCAATAGATTTGTGCCCTGCTAATTCTTCTGTTCTACAATGTGACTTTTTAAATGTAGAAATTGGAAACTGTCACACAATAAAGGATTTGACTGCTACTCAATTCCAGCATGAGTCGTTTGATGTTATAACCTTTTGCTTTCTCCTTGAGTACATACCTACATCCCAGTTAAGAATCGCAGCATGTGAGAAGGCTTACAAACTTGTAAAACCTGGTGGCATCCTTATAATAAATACTCCTGATTCTAAGCATGTTGGAGCAAATAGCAAGATAATGAAATGCTGGAGATACACACTGGCTGAAATAGGTTTTAATAGAATAAAGTATGAAAAAGCTAAATTTATGCATTGTATGGTGTTTAGAAAATCATTGAACAAAGAAATTGCTCAACGATGGGCACTTTTGTACAAAGAACCTTATATGGAATATGCAATCCACATACCTCAAGATTCTAATATTTTAGATGATGAAGAGTTAGACACAACAACACAACACATAGATGAAGACTCTGTTCTAGATGATTTTCAAGAATTGCCTTTCCATTAAAAATAATACATCATAATTTTAATCAAATTTTATTCACCCTTAGAGTAAACAATTACAGCTAAATGTTAACCTTAAATATAATCTTAATTGACTAATGTATGTCAGTAAATTACTTTAACATTTTCACATTGTCACTAAAGGTAATATCAGACAGTTCATTTTTACCTTTCATTCAGCTTCTTTCACTCAAAATGAAACAAAAGTGCAGAATTAATTCATTAGTAAACTGATCCACTGTGGATTGTTGTATTGTGGCATTCAGCATCATTCACTCCCACTCTTGAGATCATTCAGCATCATTCACACAGAGAGACACATTGAATGTTTACTCTGATTTGGTTAAATTAAATGATCATAAATGAAACTGATTTTAAGATGTATAACATCACCTGATGATATGTTTTAGAAAAGAACAGATGAATGTCCTTTTCTTTTCATTCCACTAAAGTCGTCTGAACATGGGATGAAAGATAAATGAAACATTCACAAGTGTGAATGAATATTCATTTGAATGAACCGTCTGATAGCACCTTTACTATCAACTTTTATTTGAAAAAAAAAAAACAAAATTATACTAAGTAGGTACCTATTAATTTCATTAACATTTTGGTCATCAAACGTCAATTTCTGCAGCAAGTACACAATAGAACCATCAGCTTTTTATGTTAGTAATTACAATAGCTGTGTCACTTTCATTTTTATGCTGATCCTCCAAATTTAGCTTTCCGTTTAGCCAATTTTTCTTGGTTTTCTATATCAGTCATAATTTTTGAGACTGACTGTCCAAACCTTTCAGCTCTTTTCTTGAACTTTTCTAAATTCACAGATGTGCCAGAGTTTGAGATGGCTGTACTCTTAGCTGATACAGTTTGACCAAATCTTTGTTTACGGGCTTCTTTCCTCTCATCTTCACTCATTTTAACTGGTAAACCAAATCGTTTTGCCCTCATTTCCAAGCGTGTTTTAGTATCTAAATCTGCCGTAATTTTAATTTTATTACTTGTGGGATTTATCTCGGCCTCTGCTGCATCTTTGTCTTCAACAGACTTTTCAGAAGTAGATGTTATAGATATAGCTCTGTTTAACACAATCTTTTTAGAGGCAGACTCTTTACTTTCTGTTGATTTATTATCTTCAGTTTTCTCTTTAGATATTTCTGTTGAGGTTATTCTCCTTTTGAGGGTTCGAGGCGGTTTAGCTTCTGGCGTGGTTTTTACGGGAGATGGCTGTTCAGAAAGCGCTAACTCTTCATTCAACGTATCTACAGCATTGTCATCGAGTATATCACCTTGGCTTTTATCATCTTCATCCTCTAGAACACCATCAGAGTCAATTTCATCAGAATCCAAATTAATGTCACCGTGTTCATCTTGAGACATTGCAGCTTGAAGTCGAGCTACTAACTCCGCTTTATCCCCCGTATATGAAAGTCCGCGGGACTTTAGTTCCTTGCGCAAATCGACCACTTTCATTTTAGTGACATCTGTTACGGTAGAATCTGCCATTGCTATAGAAACAACAACTGAATTTCCTACAAAAATACAATTCACAAAAATTATAGTACGGTACGGGCACGGCGGCAAACCATAGATAATAAATAAAAGTAGAAATTGACAAGTGATTGAATTGAAGAAGTGACATTCGCGTTCAATGACAACTTATCTTTTTTAAAATCATAGAGTTTTAAAGAAAAGTGTAATTTTATTTATTTATTTATTCCACTTACATTTATCTTTACATGTTAATGCCCAATGTGATAAATGCGCTCATCTTAACATTTATAGCATAACGACCTTATAATTAATGACTTGTAATGACGGGCCAAGTCATTCTACCGGGTTACCGGGGCTCCGGCTTGAAGTGCAGGAGAAGGAACGGGGTGATTTTTAGTCACTATGTAGTCAGACTTTGACAGTCATTCGATGATTTTGCCCCCTTAAAAAAAAAGTCATGCGACAGATGTCCTTCGTGTCAATGTGGGCGTAAGCGTAATTTGCGTGTAAGTCTATAGTAGCCAGGTGCCACCGTCGTTGTTTTAAGAGACTATGTCCGTCCAACGCCCTTGGCATCCTTAATCCTTGAATACATAGATAGCATTACAAAGGTTGCACCATGGACGTATTGGTTGCACTTTGTAATGCTGATCTGTCTCGAGCGAGTGTCACACGTCTCGAATGTCATATCAATCCGTTGAATTTGACAGTTCTACAAACGTCAACCCGACGACGAAATAAATTAATACATGGCAGACAGAATGGTAGTCTGTGGACAGAATATGGATTGTTTGTCTGAAAGCCGGTTGTTGTTGTAAAAACTAAATAATTAGGTGAATCAACAAATGTTCAAAAATCAATGACTGTGTAATATTGTTCAAAATGGATGTGCAAACATCAGATCATGATTTGTTTGTTGAACAATTTTTATTAGAAGATGAAAGTAATACTATGCCTTTACCAGATATTGAATCTGATCCCCAACTTTTAATTTCGAAGGTAAGAAGTACACTTTCAGGTGTAAGCTTAAATGTAATGAGATCTCTTATCAAACTCTAATTAAAAAAATTATTTTAACAGGTTCGTAAATACTACATGGAGTATATTATAAGACTTCTTTCAACTAACTATGAAACACATCAAAAGTTAGTCAACAAAAACATATATCTTCCTAGTGCCATATGGAGGTGTGCTAAAAAGTTAGAAGCTACTGCAGCCCAAGCTTGTATGGTAGTACAAATATACCGGAAAAATATTATTTCAGTAGTAAGTAGTACTGCTTTTTATTGCCTCAATGTATCACACAATTAATATAATATGTAAAGTCATACTACAGTGTGTATCTACATTCCAGATAGAGGAGTTGAAAAGAGATACAAACAAAGGAAAATTAAACAAAAAATTATATAATTGTCTTAATAAACCACCAGAAAATAGTAAAAAAACTCAAACACCAAGCACATTTATAAATAACAATTGTCAATGTGCCTATAGTAAACGTAAAAGACATGGAATGTCTGAATCACCAAAAAATTTTGAAAAGCAAATGCCTAATATAATAAGTGATAAAATAATGAATAATGACAACAGTATGTCTACTACAACTCATGTGTCTAGTAATACTCCTCACCCGCCTACTTGCCCCATGCAGACAGAAAGTGAAACAGTAACTCAGGTTACCAGTTCCACAACAATGCCCATGCTCAGCAAAAGAATGTCAGTTGAATCTCAAGATTCTGATGAGTTAATGATGCAGCTAGAAAAACTCTTCCAAGGAGACAGCAATGATGACAATGACTTATTTGATAATGCACTTTTATTTGAAAGTAAAACAGAAACAGTTCAAGAAGATCATACTAAAATAAGTTCTAATGTAGTGGATAGCAATCTTAATAATAATTACAACAACCAGGATTCCATTATTGAAAATCATGCTGCCCAAATAAAATCTTTAGATGAGAGGCTTGCTAATTTAGCAGGACTATTGGTAGCCAATGATCCTCCAGTACAAAAGACTGAAGTACAAAAACAGAGAAGAAGAGTAACAAGCAGATGGATATGTGAAGAATATTTCTTAAAACAAAAGTTACATGATTTGCTGGACCAAATTGGTGACAGAGATAGAAAAGAACTAGAAAAGGTGGGTTCTGTTTTAATATACTATGATTTAATTAAATCAAAATGTAATTGTTTCCATTGATTTGATACTACATACATATCTTTATACATTTTTGAGAAAATATTCATATAACAAGATATTAACAACAACCTACACTGTTTTATGTACACCTGTATTCCAGTATTTCAGAAGTTACTAATTATTATTAGTTCCTTACAGATAAAGCAAAAATTTGTGCAATTATTTGGGGCTGACAGTGATGAAGAAGAAATTTTGTCTCCTTTAGATGAGACAAATGAGTTTATCACCAGTTGTAAAGAGAGAATAGCACCATGGGTGGTGAAACTTCTAACACCTTATTATGTTAAGGGCCATATTAAGGGAAAATCAATATTTAAGGCCCTGGCTAAACATTTGATAAGGCTTATTTATCAGTGTAGCAGATATCCAGGTATTTTATTATTACCAATGAGCATTTTTAAATGAAATGTTACTTTAATATTGTTATAAATATAATTATTTTAAATTACAGAACAGTATGAGGTTAACAGTTTCGTGTCAGATTTCTTGAAAAACCACAAAACAATAAGGTGTGAGGCAGACTTCAAAGAATTCAGAATTGAAAATATTTAAGTGTATTTTTGTACATACATATCTTTGGTGGCCTACAATTATTGATATGCTCCTAAACAGCCAAAATTTTTCTGCAACATTAAACATTATTAACCAAACTATGCAATATTGCAGCTATATCCTGAAGATTTATTTTAAGTTTTATATGGGGCAGTGCCATTAGTTTACATGATAAATTATTAAGTAATTGCAAAAAAATATTGGACATTTAGAAGTAACTTTTGTCTTATTAAGTAAATCTAACACCAAAATGACCAATCAGCCTATTTAACATAGGTGAATCACATTATTTTTGGCAGATTTATTGGTGCCTTAATGATTTAAGCAACTCAAAATGATAGTAACAAAAATTAATTATAGAAGGCTGTATTGGCTAGCTAAGGTGGTAAGGTGGCTATTAAAGCAAAATTTGTGATTTTAATGCTTGTGATTGACAACTTACGCTAAGGAGTTCAAAAATAAATATGATTATTACATTTATCGCATTTTTATTCAAGTTTTCGACTTTTTGGGGTCTGAATCACTGCAATCAGTTGATTTCCTCTTTTCAGCTTTAACAAACCAAGATTGTAGTGTCTTTTGTGTTTTTTTCTTACTCTTATCTTCTCCCAGTGTCTTCTTATTACAATCAGTACTTTTATTTCTTGAATTGTTAACTGCAGTTGAAACTGGATGCCACGATAATCGTCTTATAGGTTTAAGATAGCCCAGTGCCATGTCGGGCTTAACATTGTCTATGTCTAGCCATGCCTGAGAAAACAATAGCAAATTAGAATATACAAGACTAGTCTGTGGAAACACATAAATAGTTCAGATTTACATGTTATACAGCATTATACATTAAACTGTCAAACACCAAGCGGTCACCGGTGACCGCAACCTATTATTCTATAATTGTGTCTATAATGACGGTACTCAACGAGTTAAACAAGATATACCTCTATTTGTTCATCACTGTCCAATATAGCAGGCGTTCTGTGATGCAGCCAATCTAATGTTTCATTGGACTCCATTGTGATGACAGAATATGAATAAATGATTGTTTCTTCATTTTGCCAGATGTGGTACAATCCAGCCATATAGAGAAGATTTATTCCTTCCCAACCTGTATTTTCATCAAAGTTGTTATGCCATGTATCAGGCTCATCAATCTGTAATTTTTAAACATAGGTACATTGCATGTTGCATGTTATTATTATTCTTGGGAGATCAAACATTAGACCTTTTGGCTGCTTTTTTGTGAAAGTAGTTGTATGAGAAACTTATTAGTTCATGGTCGGATTTGTCTCCAAGGTATATTTGGGTATTAAGTCAGTATGATATAAAAATTACTGACCACTGAACTAAAGACTGCCGGGCAAGGGGTCTCGGGTTCGATTCCTGGGTCAGGTAAAATATTTCTGGGTTTTTTCAATAAATCTTAGTAGTAGCACCGAGTCTGGAAATGTGCCCAGTATATGGCAATAGGCTCACCCCCTATTACATAGGACTTCTGGCCAAAAAGCAGAAAACAAAATGTGCCTTGCAGACTCTTAAGAAAAATTTAATCTACTGGGAAAATTTCGGCAGAGAATTTATTACACAACTCTCATCATCATCATAGTTACATTGTCCATTAATTTTATGTAAAATTTTAAGAAAAAAGACATTAACCTTTGCACCATCCTTCTGAGGAGCGTAAATATAATATGGTTGTTTCACTTTAGAAAACTTGTTGGTGGTCTGCCATTCATAGAATCCTTCTGCAACTATTATACATCTACCTCCACTGCTCAGTATTGGACTGTATAGTTTGGAACTTTTTATATTTTCAAGACGACAGTTATTGGTACTTAAGTTATGTGATTTATAGTCCCCCTAAAAACACTAGCATTAAGTAATCAAGGCATTTTAAGGAAATAAAAGATGAGATAATGATTTTGTTTCATACTTTGTGCCATGGTGGTATAATACCCCACATCATGGGTTTTAAGACTCTGTCGCAGTCTACAACATTACGGAATCTACTAGAAGAGACCAGAACTGGAGTTACATCAGTTGGAGCAATATTGTATGAAGGTACATAGTCTTTCCCTGCATTGAATTCTGGAAGCCATTCTGGTTTAATATAATGATTATCATTTTTAGATTTATAACTGCAAGCGCACTGTACTTTATCCTTCTGTAATGATCTGAAAAACATGTAGGAAGGATACTTTAATATTTAAATTTCAAAAAATATATGTAAGTAGTTTTATTGATAATTTATCATACAATCCAGTACGTCCACACATTCTTGTTATTATTACAATAATCTATTTTGTGTATGTCTGGCTTCTACTCAATAAAGTTCTAAGTTTCCTCGTCTATAATACAAACAAGAACACAAAACAAAAAATTTCGAAAACTATTCATTCAGCGACTGACAGTTGTCTAGTACCAAAGACAAAAAAGTTTGAACGATTTGACAGGACAGGACGCAGATTATTATATTCTAGAGCAATGAAAAATATGAATTACGTGAAAACACTTAAAATGTGGAAGAAATTATGTTTACTACATAGGTGGTATTCATATTAATGAACCTACAATTTAAGGGTTAACAGAAACGTTCTCGACAGAAACATTCAGTTGAACAGGTGTTTTTGAAAGAGTTTGTTTATTTTTAATCTGTGTAGAAGTGTGTGCAATGTGCACGAATCCGTCATCGACGTTTTGTATGGGGCCAATCTATGTGCCCTACGCAAGAAGGATGGCGGTATTCGTCCCATTGCCGTGGGAACAACTTATCGTCGCATGGCAGCCAAGATTTGTTGCAAATTTTATAATAATCTTCTTT